TTAGTCACTACCCCTTCAGTTTTCATCTTCTCTACCCTCCCTCCCCTCCCTACCTTATTGAAAGCGATGTTAGTGAAGCCCGAGGAGAAGACTTGTTCGTGTAAGCTCCACCTGGCAGAACACTGTGTGTCAGCGGACTTCACACTGGCGCATGATCTGGGAGTACTGACCCAGCTCAGACGACTGAGGCGAGACGATGACACTTTGGACTTGATACTTCTGACAGAGTTGAAGTTTGCGTTCTAGGACGGTAAAGGTTACCAACATAAATTCATTACATTGACTTGGCCCAGTGAAACTCAGGTACGTGAGACATAGTCTTGTGTGACCTTCTCCATACTTCGCTACATGTAGAAACTGAGGCAAATACTGAAAAAACAAATTTGTTTAACGTCTGGATAGGTTCCGATGTTTGTATGGGTATGGTTTTACCCCAGTGGGTTCTTTTCAAAATTTCTGAGGAGCATCCCCGTCCTTTTTATATGGGAGTCCCCCCCGGGGATTTTAAACGTTTCCATGAAATATATATTCTACTTACTGAGGGTTCAAACAGATTGACACTGTCTCTGAATACAATATCTTCTTGTTTAACCTTCCATGTTTGATTCTGGGCAAGATCAAGCTCGAAAATAAGCTTCCTGCAACAATATAGTAACTGTTACACTGATGTTTTTCGTAAAGGTATTACGCGACCTGTAACGTTCAGTGGTAAATTGCAAAACAACCCAAAAGAACTCAACATCTTGGTAGAGGGCAACAAGATTATTGTTTAGAAATAGTTAAGTGAATACCTTACCTGTAAACGAACACAAATACCATGGTAACAAACACAAATCCAAACACGGTACAACAGGCGATGATGATATATGTAGTACTGTTCTCTGCGGTATGAAACAACAATGCATATCAGTAGATAAATCACGTATCCGTTAATTCCGAAACATAGCACAAATAAAGGATATTTCAGTATTTAAGAAAATATCATTAACCTTGAAATTGATGCGCAGCCAGCTGGCGTTCATATTCTACCGGCATGTGACCATATTTGACTAGTGTCCACTGGAGCTATACTAGACGTACAGTCGAAAGACCGCTATTGAAGCGGATACCGTCCAGAAAGAGACACTTTGTCTTGGTCCAATCCACATACGAAAACCGTATAATTTTAACCTTTCGAAAGCTGACATCTCTCTAGCCAGAATCGTAATTTTCTTCAATTTTGCACATCCATGTTCCGATTTGGCTTTTCAATGTTTCGTTTGAGCTCTTTTACAGTTAAAAGTCGTTATATGTTGTGGTAATGACCAGTTGGTCAGTGCTAAAATTGCCTAAATATTGCATGACTTAGCCCCTTTAAGAAGCGAAGAAAAGTACCAAATAAAGGGTATAGAAGAAAGAACTTCTTATTGCTTACCGCTATCTTTGTTACAAAGCTCCCCGTCCCACCCACACTCAGGACTGTCATTAGGGGGCGTGGTTACCCCGCCCGGCCAGATGATAGTGACACCTGGTAAAATGGTAAAATTGTCGTTGTATCGAGTGTAGTACGCAATGTCTTCAAATCTGTCATCGATGAGGGTTTGAATCACATAGTCAGGATCTCTCTCGCCATTCCTGTCCATGTACACTGGGCCTGCGATACCTAGTGGTAAAAGCGGTCTCCAGTTAAAACACAGGCTCACACGCACGTTCTTCTTCACAACTGAGCCACATAAACATGAACAGTCTAAAAACATTTGCTGAGTTTGGGGTAATTATGACCTACTATGGTGAAATTAATATCATTTACACTTAAAAAAGAATCGAGGCTGGAAAGATTCCTAAAGATTGTGTTGAATTTTACCACTCTCCACTTACAGTGGTAAACTTTATCACAAACAGGATTATTTCTGCCAAAGGTAAGGCAAATGAAAAGCAAATGAGAACACCAATGGGGATAACCGTTGGTGCCGTGTTTTGGTACCACTACCACGTTCCATTAAAATTTCCATGCTTACTATATGACGCCACCAGATTTCAACGCATGCTCTTTTTGTAGTACAGACAAGGTACAAACTGGAAAAGTTAGAGTAAACAGACAAGACAGTACACTTCAAGAATCTTCAGGTAATGCCTACTTTTGCACGACTGCAGCTATAGAAGATGCCCCAACTTGTGTTATACTACTGCAATAGTAACATTTTACTACCGTACCTAGTATTTACCTCTAGACTATTGCGGAAGCTGTTTAAATCAGTCCTTTGCGATACTAGGAAAAACGCAAAACAGCGTACCTTCGTAAAGTCTGTTATACGTTCTCTTTGCAACTTCCAGGCCATTTCTGATACTTTGTCCTGATTCCAGTGTTTCGTTTACAGCCAAGGCATACAGCCAAACTGCATCGTACATTGTTCCGGCGTAAGCTTCCACCTGTGACGAGCAAATATCATACACTTCTCGGTAACTAGCCCCCTTACCCCAAGGTGGACATCCCTCGTACCTAGATGTACGTCTAACTTGACAACTGTCCAAGGCAGACACCTTCACCATGCATACACTTCCCGGCTAAGACAGACAACTCCGTATGGCTGACACCTTGTTAATGGAGACACTTCTCTATTCTGGCTATTTACGACAGACTCCTCTAAGGCGCGGTAGCCATCTAAGGCATCCACACCTTTTTAACGTGGACAGCATACCTTTCTAAGATCAAAACCTCTTTAGGGATGACTCTTTTCTACGTTGCATAGTCAAGGCTGCACACAAAAATGTCTGCTATTCAGGATAATGGACTCTTGCTGCTTCAACATGCAGTAAAACTTACCGTTCTATTTTCAGGAATGTCTACGTGAAATGGCTCTTGTTTCATTCGCTTTTTGATGCGATCCACAAAAGCTGAGACTTTCGCTCCCGACCTCTTCTCTGTGCCAAACTTCTGCTCAATGTTCAAAACTCCTTCGTAAGCCTTCTTAGCGTCATTGTCTCGGCCATCATTACCCATCCATGTGTTGTTACCAATGTAAGAACTACATTATATGTAAAATTCACACATTACTTCAGTAAGCGTGTTGCATATCAACGTGAGCTTAACCTCTTCCAGGCGTTCAGTTATTTAGTGCGCAGCGAGAAAAAATGGCGGAGCGAGGTAAAGGAGAGAGAGAGGCTTGGTGCAAGGAGCAAACGAACGTTTTATCGCCCTCACGCGCCTCACTTCTCCCCTATTTTTTCGTCCGCCATTTTTCGCGCTGCGCCCATATAACTAACTGAAGGCCTGGTATAAGTTAACCTCAGCTAAACTGAAAACCTATATCTTTAGGCGCTGCAACGCAACCGTCCTTTTTGTCTGCGGAAAAAGCCTTTTTCGAAAACGGCCGCGTCTCTTGTTATATAGACCTTTCCAGACGTTGTTTGAGTCGCCAGGCGAGAAACTAATACATCAGTCATACAAGTCTGTAATGTCACCCATGAGTTCGTTAAAATCGTATTTGCGCGGCAATCGCGCGCTTTGTGAAAAATCACGAGTTGAGTTTGAGTCTGTGATAAACTTGAAGTTAACTCCTTTAACGAAATAAAGAATATTATCTCACCGTTTAGGCAAGTGGACAGTGATAAATGCGTAATTTCCATTGAGAAGCCCAAGATCCAGAAAGTTTAACATGATTTCACGGATGTCGCCTCCATCGCACAGAAGAATAAAAACTGTAGATAAAAAGACGTCATTCATAAATTAAGCGTGATCCATATCTAATTTCTCCTTACAATATCCATACATTCTCAAATAGACAGGCGACGAGAATAAAGAAAATTATCAACTACTTTGGACTCGATGTATTACCAAGTTCTACTGACTAACAATACTGGGAATAAACAAATCACAGGATTTAACGGGAAATGAAGTCACTAAAACGCAAAACAATTTACGAGAAAAAACATGCAGTTGATTGGACATCTAAAGCTTAAGTTTCCAGCAAACTTCTTAAATTTTGGCTGGGAGGATTTCATAGATCTTACACAATTCGCGACAGCAGTTAAGGCTGGCACTATTAGTTCTGCCTTGAATTCTTAATGTTGATTGGTCGATGCTATCGACCAATCAAAGAAGACCGTGCTCAATTGGCAATTTTGAACTCAGGCCCTTTCCTCATTACGCCGAAGAAATTTGAGAACGGCTGTTCCACTCTTGAGCCATAGAACATCGGTCATTTTGGATTTGTGGTTGAAGCCGAAACTCGGGCAGGGAAATCACGTGATTATCGTAACGTCATCGTTTTCGAAAAGCTCGGTTTTCAAAATGTTTTCCGTCCACACTAACACGCAAAGTCGGCGTTTTCAAATCCCTACTTTTCGAAAAGCTCCGTTTTCGTGACGGTTCAGCGTGGACGGTAGGTCTAAATGTAGAAGTAAAGCTTCGTTTTCGAATTTCTCTGGCGTAGTGTAGACGAGTCCTCAGTTACATCTGCTTACTCATTGCACGTTTAGCGGCTTTTTGGATTAGTTCAGCGTGTCTAACAATCCGACTTTCCAGAATGTGAAGACGACCAGGAATGAACGAGTGGAAATGCGCTACGCTGATTCCGTGCCGCAGGAGTTCGATCTTCACCAGATTCGCCGCAATCTGCCAAATGTCGTCAGTAGAGGCAATTATGGCTACACGCTTCCAGCTGAAATGTTCCATCAGGCGTTTAAGCAGTTTTTCCATCTTTGTGTAGGGACCTTGGAAAAATAATACATGATCATAGAGTTAATATTCTGTTACTATTAAGTGGGCTGTACGGTTGGTCTGATGGCTTTAATGGTGAACTGATGAAAACTGCCTTTTAGCACTTAGCCTTTCCTTAGAGCCGCGCTACTGTGTGAGACGTATAATTTCTTTTCTGTTTGGATTCGGCTCAGGTTTATCAATCTCAATGGAAAATTCTGTAGGGTTCAATCGCTCATCTGGAAGAGAATTACTCCTCTAAAAAATTCTGCCACTGACGAGTAAACCGTGTTCGTCTTAGTTACCCAGTTAATATTCCTTTGAAAGATCCTAAACGATGTGGAAAAATAGGAAAACAGCAGTCCATGTCTGTTTCTTAAATTTTCTTCTTGGATACACCTGTACATTCCTTCGAGGATCTTTTTAACTCACCTACAGTTCGAACAAAAGTCGGAAACGTGTTTCTATTTGACAGATGAGCAGACATACATCCCCAAGATATCACCGGCAGATTCCACTTTCCAGCCAACAGGCTGATGTACTCGCACACTCGGTTGCATCCACCGCCGATGAACGCGTCAACTCCTCGCTTTTGCTGCGCCCAGAAGTTCATCACCAGCGGTAGCGCAGTGTTGGGCGAACAGTTCGTGTTGCCGAACACGAACTGTAGCCGATGGTTCGGTAAAATGGAGGGGTCCTTGTTGATGTCTTCAACAGCAATGGGCATGGCGGCAGCTGTGGTTCGGCCAACATCCCACTCTCCCGTCATAGGAGCCAAGGCGGCGATGGTGATATTCTGCTTCTGTTGCCCAGAAACATTGTAGTTGTTTGTTGGGAGGAGATACAAGTAGAAAATACACACGGCAACTACGCCGTGTATAACAACTCTCATTTGGAAATTTGAATGGAGCAAACACTGAGCTAACGCTGTGTTACTCTTGGTTCACTTCCAAAAGCGCAGCAGAAAGTGAACAACAGCTATTCTGTCGGCGTGTTACAAGTAAAAGGAACATTGACTCTGACGCACGTCCATGCGATAAATGACGTATCTCGATACTCATTGGTTGAACTGGAGGAAGCTTGGAAGCCGATGTCGGAATCTCGCTGCCTGCGTAACGGTGGGGCTTCATACAATCGCAGTTTACGCCCATAATTTATTTTTTCTTTTTCCAAAGGATGTTTTTCACGTTGTGTTCAGCCTCGTCAAAACAAGCACGCCTTAGGCAAACCGAATATAATGTAAGAGCCTTTTCACGTATGGAATCTCTTGTGGTAAGCTTGCCAGGCTGAAAACTTACTATATACATTGACAAAAATGAGACTCAGTCGATTGGCAGTGTTTGGTCGACTGAGAGACCTAAGACCTGTTTTACAGGTTAAACTTGAAAGAAACTTGAACCCTGAAACTTACTGATCATGATCAAAGTACCAGAAACGGTTCAACCAGGATTTAGGGGAAAATATAGTTTGATAACAAATTTGGCTTGAGTCTAAGACTTGCGTCTTGAGTCTGACCACATTTTTTGGCCTAAATACCTCATATCCCGTTGATTCCAATTACAAAAATTAACGACTTCTTCATTCGATATCCCGTTTTATCTGATCTAAACATTCCATATCCCATACACATTCTCCACGAATATCTTTTATCCCGTTAATTTTTTAAATATCCCGTACCGAAAACCCCCGATAGGGCTTCGATTTAGAGAGTATCGTTGTATATAGCTGTATTTATTTGTCACTTACATTTTGACTTTCCCTTGGGGTCGAATAAGACATATCCAATCTCATGTGGTCGTAAATTGAGGGAATAGAATGTGATATGTATTTTATTTTTGTGACAAGAAAATAAAGGTCAATAAACTGGAAGAGATTTCAAGTCGAAGTATTCCTCTCGCACCCCCGCACAGTGCTCCAACCGGAACTCGCCCCAGCTCCTTTGCGTGTTCGTGCCACCTCATCATGGAATATTCGCCGGCAACAACATGGACTTCGACAGTGCGTTGAAGGTCGTCGGCGAATTTGGCCGTTATCAACGCAAACGGTTCATCTTTATCTCACTTTCGGCATTGCCAATGTTTTTTCAGATGCTTCTTCTAGTCTTCGTAGCAGCAACACCGAAATGGCTCTGTCCAGAAGGTGGCAAACGAAACTTAAAACATTGCAAGTCCCTGGAGAGTTGTTGTGCCTTGGACGGTTCTATCTGCAATGGAGCGCAATTTACTACGAATTTTACGTCAATCGCGACGGAGTGGAATCTTCTTTGTGGTCAGACATACAAGAATGAACTCACACAATCTATATTTATGGCCGGCACGTTGGTCGGGGCGCCATTGATAGGTGGTTTGGCTGACAAGCATGGTAGAAAACCTTTGTGGGTGATCAGCTATTTCGTGAATGGCGGCCTCGCATTTCTCTCTGGACTGTCGCCATCTTACCATATGTTTGTTGCTCTGAGGTTTCTCTTAGGGATTTTCGCTGGTGGAGGAGGCTTGATAATATTTGTATTGGCCACAGAATCCATCGGACCTTCATACAGAGGTGTGATATCAGTTTCGATAATTTTTCAGACTGCCTTTCCAGTGAACCCTAGTAGGGGTACCCTAGATCAAAGTGGTGTGAGGATGCGGGTGGGGGAGCGTCTGAAATTGTCGACTTCTGTGTTTTCAAAGTGCGCGTTCAGAAATCTTTGAAAGTATTTTTGCTTTTTAACGAGTATTTCTATTTTTTTGTGAGTAACTGTAAGATGTTTTCTGTGGGGTATGCTTTTTGGGAAGGGAATGTTAAAAAAGTTGGGGGAGGGGCTTGAGGGTATATTTTTGATGTAGATATTTTATTGTATATTTTTGGAATTACATGTCGCCTTCATTCACACAATCCAGGCTTTTTATTCTATTGTTTATTTTTTCCTCGAGTGTCATGATCTTCACCCTTCTGAGGGAACAGTAATCATAAGTCTTGACCAGGTTTCTTTGCAGGCTGGTTTTCAGTTAGAGTCATAATCAGGAGCACCGAATGATATGATCAAGGAGAAAACAACCATACAAACATACATAAACTTTATTAACATGTCTTTATATCTAGCCGATGGGGGAAAAAAACCCTCTACTAATTGGGACACTTAGTATAATTAATAACCTACTATTTTCTAATGAACTATTAAAAAGCCTGACAACAGAAGTAGAATGCTGATTCCACTTATGACTCCATCATGCACAACTGTATGATGTAGTAAAAACTAGATTATCTAAGTTGAAAGCAGAAATTTCTAGCATTGCAATTGGTTGATTCTTTTTTCTTTTTTTTTTTCTTTTTTCTTTTGCTTCTGCCTCTGGACAATCTAGTTTTCTCTGGATCATAAGCAGTGGAGTCTTAAGCAGAATCTGAAGAAAATAAACACATTCTGATTCTTCCAAGTCTGTTTCCATTGACTGTATGACTCTGCTACCTCTCCTATTTTCAATTTTCACCAAGTCGTAAACCCACTTACGACTCTTCATCACTAGTTCAAACCAGCCTCAAGAAATCTTAAGATCATTATAGTATACATGTATGTTATAATCATTGTTAGATTATACAGGTGTTATCTGAGATTCCAAATTTTGGTGGGCTTCATTTTGTAAAAATCTCTCTTTTTCTGATTCCTGCTATTTTTGATGTCATGGATTTACCAACCCATCCAGTAGCTGTAGATGAAGAAATTATGATGTAAAAGTACACTCATCTTCTTTATGTATCTACAGGTTTTGCTGGGACCTCATTACAGGACTTTTTTGCAGTTGCTGTGGCATTGCTAGGACTGATGGCGTACCTTATTCCATCCTGGCGATATCTCACTATAGCTTCAGCTCTTCCATCAATTTTTGGTATATTTATAGTCAGCACAATTCCAGAATCCCCTAGATGGCTGGCCTCCCAGGGGAGATATGATGAAGCAGAAGCTATTTTGAAGAAGATATCCAAGGAAAATGGTTTAGGAAACAAATATGTCTCACTGCAGCGGTCAAAGTCCACATCAAAAGCAGGTCCTTTGGTACGCAGTTATGGAATTCTTGACTTGTTTAGAAACAGTACCACATGCATAATAACACTCATCATGGTCGTTAGTTGGTTCGTAAACAGCCACGTATATTATGGCCTGTCACTCAATGTGAAAAACCTTGGTGGCAATATGTATGTCAATTTTGTCTTGGCTGGTTTGGTAGAAATCCCTTCTTATTTGTTAACAGTCTTTCTCCTTAACTGGTCGGGCCGTCGCAAGTCTCTGTTTTATTTCATGATGGGAGCTGCTGGATCATGCTGGGCATGCATGAAACTACAAACACAGGATTCCACCAATCCTGGGTGGCTTTCTGCCTCAGCCATGCTTGGGAAGTTTTGCATCTCTGCATCATTTGCTGTACTGTATGTTTATGCCGCAGAACTCTTCCCGACTGTTATCCGTAATATTGGCATGGGTGTGACGACTGTTGCATCACGTATCGGTGGAATTTTATGTCCGTTTGTTGTACTAATGGGAGAGCAGAGTAGATCTTTACCAATGTTTATATTTGCTATTATGTCTTTAGTGGCAGGTTTGGCTGGTCTGAAACTGCCCGAAACTAAGGGAAGACCCATGCCAGAAACAATGGAAGATTTGGAGAAATCAGAACATGAAGAAGTTAAAATTGTAAAAGCATAAATATTTAATCTTTGTACATGTCAACATGTAAAATCTCATCACATATCACCATACCTTTATTGCAGGGAAGGTTAGGAGAATTTAACCTAATCATGTTCTGTGATGACTATTTAGTAAATTCCTATCACCTCAATATACTATGTGGTTCTTTATTTATATTATGAGATAATATAAGATTAAAAGATCAAATAAGTCACTTTATTCAAGTGTCATTATTTAGCACTGCTGTGCACATTAAGGACACTACAAATCAAGAAACAAGTATTGTAAATAGAACTGAAAGAGGCACTTATTAAAAGGTTGGGGTGGATTTAGGGGGGTTTGGAGGGGTATTCGGTTGAACCCCTTAAATTAAAACAGCTAATGTCATAGAACTTTAAAAATTATCGGTAAATGCATTACTGCACCTTTTCAGTATCATGCGGACTCTAAAATTCAAAGCTCAACCAACAAATGCATTTTTTGCTACAGTTGATCAAATGTTTGGTGGCTCCTCCCAGCTTCTGACTATACGATTTGATTTGATCACCACGCACTCAGTAGTAGTTGGAAGCTGGGAGGAGTCACTGTGTATTTGATTGACAGTAGCGAAAAACGCATTTGTTGGTTGAGCAAAAATCCTATTTCCGAGGACTTCAATTTAAAAAATTTTCCAGGGGAGGATGCCCCCAGACTCCCCTACAGGGGACCGCCTGTGGCTGCCCATATCTTGAACTTCTGTATCTGCCCCAGAAAGGGGTTAACTCAACTGAGTAAAAGTTCTGATATTTGCTTGGCTTTGACAGGCAAGATTTTGCAGCGATCATAGCTATCCTTTTTCAAAATCACTACAGTAGTCGCCTTTATAAACCAGAACTACAAACCATTCTTGGCATTATGCTTATGACATGGCTAAATAACTGCATTTACTCGCATGATATCTTATGAATTGCAGAATTTTTGTGTGGTGTATTTTGTACTCACACCTTAATTTTTGAAGAGTCTGGGTAGCTTCATTTATTTATGTTCAGTTACATTAGATCTACTTGCTCTTAGACCGGATGGCCGCCACTGTCCATCATGTGCTCGCAAGTACATTGGGTTAGTCAACATTCACAATGTAACAACTCGTTAGGTAGGCCTCCTTATCATTAATTTACACGTCCCACTCCTTTATCATGAATATAATGTAGCAGTGCAGGGTTCCCTTTTAATCATTTACCTGACTACCACACGGCCCTTACAAGACTAAGTAACCCACATAACCACTGAAATACTAAATTGGTCAGCTATTTTCATTTGGCTGATTCGAGGCTAGATCAATCTAATATGGATCACCATTGGTCTTTGGTTTCCTTGGATGGTTTTCCTCAAGCTCTGCAAATGTCTCTGGCATTGGTCTGCCTTGTGTCTCTCGCAGTTTCAGTCCCACTAATGCAGCAAGCAGTGCAGTACAGGCGAAAACAAACATAGGTAGAGAGTTACGTTGATCTCCAAGCAGAACAATAAAAGGTGCTACAATCCCACCAAGCCTGGCTGATAAACTGGATATACCCATTCCTGCGTTACGTACAACTGTGGGAAAAAGCTCTGCTGAGTAGACATAGAGAAGAGCGAAAGATGCTGAGATACAAAACCTGCCGACCAGAGCAGTAATGGATACTGCAGCAGCATTTTGGCCACCTTGTAGAAACATGCACAGGAAACAAGACACACTGGCACTGAGAAGAAAAAAGAACAAGCTTTGTCTTCGTCCGAGCCGCGCAAGAAGAACCTGAGTCACCAAATAGGATGGTAATTCTATCACACTGGCAAGTGCAAAGTTAATATACACACTTCCCCCAAGGTTTTTAACATTAAGGGCAAGTCCATAATACACCATACTGTTCACGCACCATGTAAACATCATAATGACCGTGACAATGCATACGGACTTGTGAGTAAATAAGTCAATTACTCCATACTGGGAGGTTTTAGTGTCTTCTTTAGTCGTGTCTGTTTTAAGAAATATAACCTCATTTTTGTTGGAGCCATTTTCCTTCTCTATGTTCCTCAGAATGTTTTCGGCTTCTTTTATTCTTCCTTGGGATGCTAGCCATCTTGGAGATTCTGGAATACTTTTGAAAACCAACAAAATAATGAAAGATGGAAGAATTGTAATTACTGTCAAAGTCCGCCAGTCACGGATGAAATAAGCTTCGAGTGCCAAAACTACATAACCAACAGCATAGAATGCCTGCTGCCAAGTGCCAGCTGATCCTACAATAAAAAGCAAAAACTTGGTAAGTTGTAGCCTGCTTCAGCCCTCCAAGCTGATAGATTGTGGTTTAAATTTTTACCAAAAATTTAGCTGGCTATTTAAAGCAGGCAAGTATTTCCAATTAGCATGAAACCTCTAAAAGTATTGTTACTACCCCTGGATGGGATGCTAGTTTATCCAAAAGAATATCCTCTCACTCCCCTCCGCCCTTGAGCATTCAATTTTTCAGTGCCCATGCAGAGAGGCACTGGGTAGCTTGAGGATAAAGTCTCCTACTCAAAAACGCATTTAAACAGCTAGAATTGTATTATTTTGTATCTTTCTAGTATGAAAATACCATAAAACTCCAATACTAAATGCTGGGCTTACATTTGTAAATAGGGGGTTTAAATGGTCTTATTTTTGAGAGGGAAAGGAGGACATCATCTAAGTGAACTAACTTGAATTGCGTGACAGAGCATTTGTGTCACGCAAAATAAAATCAACATGGCGCTCTAAAACAAATTGGAAGCAAAAAACCGCTGTAAATTTCACTTTCAAAAACTCAGGAAAAAGCTAACTACAAAATATGCAAAATCAACAGTAGACAGTAGACAGTTACAAAATTTCACTTACCTCGATAAGAAGGACCGATTGATTCTGTCGATAGCACGTAAGTGATAAGGCCTCCTCCGCCATTCATAACACCCATAGCGAATCGCAAAGCGATGTACTCTTCATAGGTCCCCACAAATGCAGACATCAGTGCTAAAACACCTCCAACTATATAAGCGAAAAGCCACGGCTTACGTCGGCCATATTTGTCTGACAAAATACCGAAGATTAGAACTCCGAACATGTACCCAGCCACAAAGATCGATTGACTTAGCTCGCATTTGTAGCGATGCGTGCACGCTAAGTTCCATTCTGTCGCGATGGATGTGAACTCCGTGGAAAATTCTGCTCCGGGACAAATAGAACCATCCTTAACACAACAACGTGCGTGGCTGGAGTTGCAATGTAAAATGTCGCCTTCTGGAGAAGGGCATTTCCACTCCGGGACTGCTCCAACGAAAACAACAATCAGCATTTGAGCAGCAAGGGGAAGAGAGATGAGACTCACTACGAAATAGATGCGTAGTTGATGGCGGCCAAATCCCCCAATGTGTTCTAGTGCGGAGTCAAAATCCATTCTTTTTGGAATTCTCTGACTGATCGAAGTAGATGCCATCAATATTTGCAACTTGACAAAACGTGACCTGCGTGTTCTTTGTTATATACGAATATTGTGCGGGGTTTTGTTGGTTGCTTGGATCTCGTTTGTTCGTGGAAGGTATTTTAAACAGCTTTGTT